ACGTTTTTTCTTTCCTCCTGCTACACTTCTCATCAAGAAGTTTAACTCATATCAATAAAAATTTCCATTTTAACAGATGTACATCTCAAACTCAATATCCCACTCTTCACAAATACTGCATAACTGAATGGTGAATGCAAAATGGTTGTTATATGGAATATTTCTTAAAACCTTCAGCAGTTAAGAAAAAAGAGACACACTTATTCTTTCCATCTGGATCCAAAATTTAAGCTCATGGGCAAAGTATATGATATTTGTATTGGCAAGAAGTGTGTGATTTCAAAACATCATCTAGTAGTGCTGTAACATAGGCCATGGTGCTAATGAGGCATAGTGGTGAATATCGTTCTTGCAAAAGTATCAATTGTTTCAATATGTAAAACTCTGTTTAAAACTATATATTGAATCTCTACTCATGTCTAGCCATTCTAAAAATGAATCTCACAATTTACTAACAGATTTACGCTAATAACCATCTCTAAAAAACAGATCAAAAGGCACACTCTGTTCACGATGGCTCAATAAAGTCCTTTTCTGGGAAAAAGTAACAGCAGCTCTCAAAAAAAGAGGGGAGGGCAGTTAAGTGAGTGGCTGCACAACTTAATGGAGGCATTGCCCAAACTTGGCATTTGGTGGGGGGCGCTAGGGTGGGGAGGACATTCAACCTTGCTAGATTACATTCACTTCAACTGGGGCTCTGTCTCCATGAAAATGCTCAAATCGAGGAAACAAGAATTGTATTTGTAAAGTGCTTAGTAAAGATGTCCTATGGTGGAATTTAATCATTTGTGAGTGTACTTATTTTTCCTATTTGATTAATTGATATACTACTTATAAAGACAAGGCTTTTTTAGTATCTTGAGAAATTAGGTCATGGCTATTATGTACACATACTATTATTCTTCTGCATACTATTTTCATGAAACATCATTGAAAAGAGTTCATAAGTCAGATTCCACACTCACAAATTCAAATCTCTTTCATATTGCATCATTTGTTTTTAGTCCATATGCCAACCAGCCTGACTGCGTAAATAAGACTATCACAGATGGCAATGGCAAGTGAATGACTGAGGTAGAAGTTTGTTAATTCTGCCTCTCAAGGGTGGGATGTAATTTTGTATATACAGAAATCAGAGGGTTCATTCCATTCATATTTATATTGTTTAAAGGAAACACCACCCCCTACATGTAGTGATCTGTGGCCACAAAATTGCTAACTCTTATACTCTGAGCATGAGCATATAAGTAAGGCATGGAAGCATAGCTGGCTGACTGCTTCTGCATTTTCACATCTGCAACTAAAAACAGGTTCAAAAGGAAACTATGCCGAAAAGAGAGGTGTAGGAAGAAACTGGCCATGAGCATTCTAAAGTACTGAGGAGCTTTCGCTATGCTATTAAATGAAAAGCAGAGATTAGATAAAGGAAAACAAAATTGTCCAACTTCCTCTATTTATAACCTCAGTGTTTATACCAGATCTAATAATAAATTATCAATTAAGATAAGACTACATTGTATCCAAAGGATATGATATCCTGGAATTCTCATAGTTGTTAAAATACATTTCAATAAAGTCCAAATCTTTTCCTAGTCCTAGAGCAAGTATTTTTGACTGACATGTAATATTTCATGCCCTTATCAAAGGTATACCAAAGTATCATACAGTCTAATTCCACTTTTCCATGTTTTAAAACGTAGTCACCTTTTGCTAGAGGGTAGGAGGGAAGAGAAATCCACAGTGCTCTTTGGAGGCTCCACTTAAGCCTGTTTTCCCTCTTCATCAAAATCTTCTGAAAATAGGGCTCTTTCTCCATCTTTATCGTGAAGGTAGAACTGCAGTTCTTGAAAGCCTCTCGCTGCCTTCTTTCCTGGCGTTCTTTGC